TTTTATTATGCATTCTCGCGGTAAAACCCTTTCTGTTATATCTCCATTCGACTTATTCGCCGTGTCTGTTGCCAAGTGAAACCGTCTCGAGAATCTTTTCTGTTCTTAATGTGAGCCGTTTCGGCTCTTGTTCGGGGTCCTACTGTGACAGCCATTATAATTCCCAGTGAATGTGGAAGTGTACAAAGACAGCTTTGTGCTCGCCATAAATATTTATGAGTGAGTGTCTATTTTCCACACGTGGGCTGGTGGATACGCACGATACTGTCGGCCTAATTGGACGTCTGTAGGCGCGAATTTGTTTCAGTCTGACAGATATCCCTTATTTATATTTGTATGCTGGACATATAATAAATTTATATTCAATCATATTGTTCCTCATTTTGCATTCTAAAACAAAGATGACCCTGAGACGTCTTCAATCAATTGGTATACTTTTCCGCAGTCCTACTTGTAATTCGTCCTTTCGATTGTATTGTATAACGATAAATGTATTAGAGATACTAATCCTACTTTCTCTTAACTAGTTTCTTGAGGCCACCATAAGAAAGTAAAACCCCGCTACGCCAGCGCTCGCCCCGTGTCCCGATGACATACAAATTGCTATGATAAGTTATTCTGGGATGAGCACTGATTTCTACTGATTGAGAGTCTTGGATGGAGTCGATGTTTTCATTTGGATATTGGCCAAGTATTCCAATAATGTGTCTCATTGGTATTTGTTCAACGGTTTATCGTAGCTTTTATTGTGAAATGTATCCGTTAATGTTTAACACATGCGATGAGCGAGCATAGACGGCGACCTCATTGATGTGTACCTGTGTACCCACCCGGTCACATAAACGCTGCGCCGTATGTGGAACGCGGGAACGGTAGTACAACCGCGGTCAGGCATCTTGCCCTGTCCCGCCCTCACTCTTTGACCTTTGCATGCTTTTACTTCATAACTCATTGCATTGTGCTCTATCCTACTTTACTGCCATATAATCAAAGACTGCAGTTATTCACCTATTGTTTCCTAGTGTTAAATAAATATCTAACTAACATTTCAGATTCGATCAAAAGAGCTTCCCTTAAAACAAAACATTGTTAAAGGCAAAGTCTGATACGCGATCACGATGTCTCGCTGACTTAGTAACATGGTTGGCACACTTTCAGGGGGTCCCGCTTACATCGGCGACGACGTCACGTTTCCCATGTTAAGGATTGTTTATTGAAGTCATGATGTGACCTTAACATTGTATTTTACGATTGTCTCGTCACCGGTCCGCGCACTGACATTTCAATAGAGAAGGTGAGCGAGGGTCACGGCGTGAGACGCGGCACGAGCGTCCTACCTGCACTGCATTGCTAAAGTTACGGACCCTCAGTCTATAGGTTCTTCTTACAAGCGACGCCTTCCAACTCATTCCAGTTCCAAATGTTATGGTTGTCAATGTTCTTGCCTCTACAGGTAATCATTTAACACTCGACTCACGAACTATAACTTAACATCTCCATAGATATCTCAACTGTCTCTCTATCAATGTGTTATTTATTTTGGATGTTCCATTATTTATTGACGTCCCGCTCCCCGGACGTTACATAAATCACTCGCTATCGAGCCTTATGACCTGAACAAGTGAAGAGAATATTTCATTTTATATAAAGTTATGAAATATGATCACATTTACTATCGACACCTTGGACGCCATTTTGCGGCTAAACGGGATTAATTCCGTTTAACTGGAGCTGGAACATAGCTCAGCTCAGATCGCCTCCGGAAGCTTATCGGTGTCGTCCATGTTGACTTAAATTTGCATGGAGTATATTTTCGTCGCCGCGTAAATTGTGGGTGCTCACGATTTAACGCTGGTATTAATGCATTATTCAGAGGGGTTTTCATTAGACTGTCGATATCGGTGCGGCTCATCGCACTCTCGTTAAAATGTTCAGATGGCATGACGAGTGCTCGTATTGAACGGGCTGGCCCTCGTCAAGCACGCGATCACCTGTCGACACAATACTCTTCAAACTCAAATCACAAAAAATCGATCACAAACGTTCACTCAATCATATTTAGACGAAGTTTTCCACCAAGAATCTAGTAAGAGTTCCAAAGAAGTGTTCCAAAATTACGAACGCCTGATTTTGTACGATCGTCTTCATATTTAACAAGAGCATCACTAAAGGAAAATACACCGCCACAGTTAATAAATAATGTATATGGCGGAAACGATAAGATTCAGTTTGGATCTCTACGAAATCTAACTAAGCTCATAGATATTAAGTACACATGGTAACCACCGCGGTTACTGTCTACAATTTCATTCAATACACTTCACCTTTTCATGTTCAAAGATTTACAGCTGCTTAAATTTGCCTCTATAATATTTAGTGGTGCTCATGACAAACCCTTACGCGTTGTTCAATGGTGCGACTTGATCATAAAACATTAGGAAGCTGCTATGGCCGTTCTAAGCTTACGGTTGCATGCAACTTTGTCTTTTATTTCAGGCCATAAATTACGCAGGACATAACTATGATGTTCTCAGAAATCTTTTAAGGATTCTTAGCTTTTACTGTTTCGTTTTTTAATGCCTGGTTGTATGTATTATTATCACATAAACAATAATTATTGTTTATGTGACTAGATAATGTGTGAGTAGATAATAATTATAATTATTATCTACTATATAACGGTATCTGATAGGCCTGTTAACTTTCAGGTAGTACTCATAACCCCCTTATTCCAAAACGCGGACTTAAGTTAGTCTTAGGTTAAACCTAATGTTGTGTATGTCTTTTTTTAACAAACAAAAGTAACAGCATCAGTTTTAGTCCAGGTTTAACTTTAGTCTACGTTTCATAAGGCGGATCGGAAGTCTATCAAAGTTCAGTGAGACTGTTTTTTTTAAGTACTTACTTGAAATTTAACTTTTCGACAGACAACTTTTTCAGACATTAATTTAGAACGACATTTGTGGACGCACTTTTAATACTCTGTAAACTCTTAAGGGAAAGGTTATGTACAAATAAAATCATAATAGTTGATTATTGTCTGTAAAATTACATTGTTTATCAATTAAAGATAATTAAAGTACTAACTCTGGATCCTATTAAACTTCACACGATGAAAATATTCTACTCCGCCACAAGTCGCATAGCAATTGTTTTTCGTACGTGAAATAGATGCATTTATGAAGTGGCTAATTAAAAGCCTGGTTTGTCGTTGCGGGTAAGTACCATTTTGCAGAAACTAGCGCGTCGCTGCTAAGTAGGTGCCGACAGGTTTGTCAGCCCCAACCACCTGATTAAAGAAGGCACAGAGACAAAGCTTCATTCAGTCGCATGTATGTTTGAGCACTGGCGGCCAGCCACCGCAAATACAGTGCGACCAAGATCTTGTGCAGGCGCCACTCCCAAATCGCACACGTCAAATTGAAAATATCTTCTGCCCCTAGCCGAGATGCATTCCATCAAATTCCATCATCATGAGGAAATATTTACAAATTCTGGGTGTTGAGGGTGCAAATCGTAAGTTGGCGACCCCCTCCAAAATTTCAGGCTGCCACCGCGGCTGAACTTGTATAGCGCGTGCCCGAAATCTGAACTTATTTTAAGACGGTTTTAACAAGCCTTTTATATTTCCTATTACCTAATAATAACGTTCCATACAAGTGAGGAGATTTTACGTACTTAGTAATCCGAATTTCACCAGCAGCGGCTCATGTCAATGTTATCTGAGTGCCACAAGATCTTGGTTGCACTGTAGAAACCGCCAGCGTTCTGCGCACTCACGCGCACTGCATGAAGCTCCTCCTCTGTGCCTTATTTTACTCATATGCCCCAACTCCCCGTGTGATACGCACTCGCGGATGTGGTATACTTTCGTTATGAACGAGCACACATGCCGTACTCGCCCTAAATATGTTGACATATAGACGGATAACGATAGGTTTTAAGTGACGTCCGATTAGAATTGCTATAAAGACATCGACGTAACACTGCTTCGTAGTGTAGTGTCCCTTCAGCAGGGACAGCAGATTGTGCCATACTTATTTCACATTTGAATTTGTTGACATATTAACGGATAACGATAGGATATTATAAAAACATCAACTATATTATCATATAAATAGTGTTAAGTACAGAATAGTCGCCGGAAAGTTATGAGTATAAGGATAACGCGTAAGTGATACTACTGTGTTGTTAACTTGTATGGGCTTTAGTACCTTACTATTACGCTTGCCATATGCTTGTCAACTATTTTTAATATAATAAATCAGCCTATTTGAGCTAACGCTTATGCATGCTAATTGAATCTTTAATGTTGTTGAGACTTAAATATACATCCATTATGTGCTGTTAGATCATATCTCTTTTTAATTGCTAATATATAATTTAAAATAAATATATTTTCCTCACATGACGTCAAAAAATGATATAAATTATCATCTGCATAGATTCTGGTTTTGTCAAAATATTTTTGAGACAATTGAGTATGTTACAGTTAAAACCAATTAAAGTGAATTAGGCATGTATTGGTTTCGATTCTGGCATGATTCTCCTTCTCATTCTGTATAGCGAATGACAAGGATACACTGTTGTCAAATTTAAATCGACACCAATATAATTTTAACTTTCATTTACTATTGAAACTAAATTAATAATACGTCGTGTTTGAAGATTGCCTAAACATGAAACAATCACAGTCCAAGCTGATACAGAAGAATTTGAAACATGGTATATATTGCCTAGTTATGAGTGTTTCAGTGTTAAATTTTCTTCGTCAAGGAGACCCAACCGTACAAAATATGTTCTGCACTGATTTAAAAACACTCAGCGAGTGTAACAATGAATTCTCGTATTCTTAGAAACAAAAACTTGAAATCGATCAATAATAGTAACATCATTATTTGAGTGTCAGCGAAGTGTTAAAATGATTACATCATTATAATTTCATAGCTATTGATTATTGTTATTCAGTTGGATATAATTATGCCGCTACTTGTAATTACCTTGTTGACGCGCTGCCTGACTGCTGCGGTCACCTGTAACAAAGAACACAATTCATTAGATAAAATGAAATTAATTATATAAGTCGAGCGATGGTATTAATATAAAAGAGATGTGTTTTTAGTAACATTCTAGCTACAATGAAATTGAAGTTCCTCATTTATTTGAAGGGGCAGCAAATATTATACTAAAATAATAAGAAGAAAAAATTGGCGACTTTAATTATCTATAAGCGATTGTAAGATTTTTTTAAGATTAAAGAGCGTAAATAGTTGATATTAATAAAAAAAATATTTAGGAGAAATCAAAATGAAAAGAACATAACCATTTCCATTCCAAATTAAAATGACAACATATATAAAATTATGAAAGACATAAGAATTAAGCAAACGATAAGAGAGCAAATTCCTGATACAAATTTAAATCAAAACCTCAAAACGACTATGTTACATTGATAAAAGTCAATTCCAACGCGTGCGCGCGATAAATGGTTTATTATCTCATTATAAAGCACGCTTACGAACGAAGTAAGAACTATCTTGATTGACCCTGTAATTACTTAACTGACAGGTTTTAAATCGAACCTCTTAGAATCGCAGCCGCGTAGGCTTTAGCCCCTGATTGGCCTTTTCAATTAATGGAAGCTGTTTGTTTATTGACGTAATAGTTCAACCTCGCCTATGGGCCATCGGTTGGGTTATTGAGCCTAAGCACGCATACGCTATCTAGATCCAAGCGCTGCAAGAGGCGCTTATAACGTCCACGCCCTTGAGAGGGATTAGATGTTGGGCCGAAGTGTATTTACGGCTAAACACCCGTTCCCATCGTGTGTTTCTTTCAACAATATAGGTATTTAATATCGTTGATTTCTTTGATGAAAATGTTTTCACATTTCTCGTTTCGTAATAAAATATAGCGACGTTTAAAAAAAGGTAAAGCTGATCTGATACATTTTGCAAATTCAACTTTGTTTTTTCTTTTTTTTTGTTCACAATACTGAACCAAATTATCAAAGAAGATATTGATTGGTTTAATTATTAAAACGACAATTAATGTGCATCAGACTTTTGACGGCAGCTCTCTTAGTAACAATTTAATAAGTAGTCATTATACATTCATGAAGGAAAAGAAAAGTATTTGTTGCCAGGTGGCCACTGTTTTACAATAAAACAGCGCGTCTGTGTTGTAAACAAAGTGCCACACTGACCGGGTTAACCTTGAATGGTAAATGTGCGTGGAGTTTCGCCGAGGAAAAATATGCCATTGATGCAGGCAGCGTGCGTGCGCCGGATAACGGTCACCACGCGCCGAATAAGTGGTTTAGTATCGTACGTGGAATGATAATGTTCACTGCGAGACTTGACACGCAATCGTCGCTATGTCACTGCCTACCGGACACCTTTCATAGACCCACTTTCTAACATTATGTCCTTGAACTGTAGGTATCCACAAGGCCGCATTATCCGAGTACGTTCTCGTGCAATAAATTTAGTTTTATCGTGTCTATCCTGTTTCACTTTCGATATTGACGCCGTTGTAACAATTCTAAATTGTCAATGTATCTAATAGAGATAGTATGGCAATAGTGATCTGTGGCAGGCAGAACGAGGCGGTGTCGATGTCGGCGTCCTCGTGAACAATGCGCCGCTAACGAGACGTGGCGGCGGCGGCGCGGTCCATCAGCCGCTTCGCGGAACACCTCAATCCTCTTTGTTTACGTTAGAATCGAACTCGCCCGTTCGACTAATCTCATCCCGAACGCAATAAAACTCGAAGCTAGCTCACGACTCCGCTATGTCTGCTCTTTATCGCCTCCGACGGACGCGGTACGATCTTAAACGTATTTTAATAACTTCCACCTGCTGGTCTCCGTAATGGGCAGACCATGCAAATGCTTGTGCTCACGGAACACCGTTACACACCGATACCGAACCGCCCCGCGAAATAAAGAAAGGCAATAATCGCGAACGGGAAATCCGATCAGGCCGCGGGCTCTAAACGGCATACTGGCTATAAGGCCCGGCGCCGGCTCGCGTTCCCATTGTAAAGTAACACTACGTAAACCAAGCTACGATAACCGATTACTAATCTCAGCTCTCCGTCCGTCCCTCAGCCGTGAAAAAACTCGACCTACCGTAAAGAAAGTGCCCTCACCCGTTTATGTTTACGATCCTATCTCAGAATGAGGTGAGCACACTGAAGTCGATAGTGTGGAATAGAACTTCCCTTTCGAGATATAGCGCGCCGCTTTCCCTGTCATGGCTTTGCACCCTGACACTTGCACTCTTCCTTTCTACATCGCCTACGTGACAACTCGTACAAGTGATAGCTGTTAATCATGACAATTATTATTATTATTACGTGTGTGCTTAAGCAAGTGAATTGATCGTACTGTTTACATGTTATGAAAATAGTCGCCATTATATACGCGATGTGTATGCTCACATTTTTTAATAAGTTATTTCACTGTCTGCTAACGCGGATAAATGTAAGTATAGGCGGAACTAAACCATCGATTCTATTGAAACGAATGTATTATTAAAAGTCGCTTTATCATTCCACAAGCAAAACTGCCATCACAAAATAAGATTAACAATTTTCTCACGTCCGCATCGAGATCGAGTTAGGCGACGACAACCTCTGCAAAAAGTAAGTTGGAAATCTAATAGAGTTTGTGGCAAGCCAGTTATTTGTGTTATTTTTTAGTTTCACTGACGCTCGGGAGAAATGCTATGTAACGCTCGCGAACGAAGACGAAGCAACCTGACATTACTGTAATAACTCCGAACCGCCCTTCTGTCATTACTTTGTACACTTTCCTCCGGTAACTAAAGATAGAACGCTTTTTATTTTTCACAGGCATGTTCTTTACAATTGTTTTTATGCACCGTACCGGCTCTCGGAAACCTACCCTGTCGCGGCTAACGAAGTTTTGATATAATGATTCTCGTTGCGACGTAATTTTTTGTTTACATTAGTAATTTACGTTCAAATGCAGCACGTTATCTATTATGCGCGACGTTGACTACGTGAATTATGTCTTTTGATTATAATGATATATTGGGTGTGGATTTGTAATGAGACAAAGTTGTTTAAGCTCTATGAGGCCGGTAATATTAAGGCAACGGTAGTTTACATTATGCATAGGTACTGCTCCGATAACCGTAACTATTGCTTTTAATTTTTTCATTAGGTATTGTTATAATAGTAAATATAAATGTTAAAAAATATAAGATATTAAATTGTAATATATAAGTTCAATTAATCTAAAAGCAGGAAAACTAACTCTGTCCATCTTAATTTGTGAAATTCCGAAAAAAAAAATTTAATAATTATATTAAAAAAAATGCTATTTAATGATAGCGTTTTGTTAAAATATAGCCGTGTTAAATTGTAAAAAGCTTTTAATAACAGGGCACAAACAATATTTGTAAAACTTTTTCGCTTTTGTCTATATAGTATAATAGTTATTTATTATACAAGAGTGGAAAGTTCCTTTTTAACCGCGTGCTCGATTTGGATGACCGAGCAAGCGAAGGATTCTAAAGTTGAATCACGAGCGCAGCGAGTGATTCTAAATTAGAATCCTGAGCGTCAGCGAGGGAAACAAACGAGCACAAGGTGAAAAATCTTTCCACTCGAGTGCAATACGTAACTTTTCATCCCACCTCAGCGAGGAAATGACAAAATGAAAAAGAAAACAATTTATAATGACAAAATATTTAAGCAATAAAACGTGAAAAACTAGAATGGCGCGAAGCACGCAAATAAAACAAAGAAACCAAGAAGGTTCCAAATTTAAATTTTTTCACAATTTAAAAAGTTCTAATCATAAATTTGGCACCATAGAGGTTACATTAAATAGGTTTAATGACGTTTTGAATTTACAATTATATTGAGTACTCATTATATGTGATGTTCTAAATTCAAATCTACTTTGCCGCTCAAGCGAATAAAATAGAATTTTCCAGCCAGATTTCGAAGCGCAAAATTACACTTTCCGAGGTGGTGGGATGAAAAAGTAATTTAAACGCAATGAGGTTTTACTTATTTAATACATACTTTCGACAATTTGAAACTACAAATACATTAAATTGATTTTACATCTCAGATTATAGCTGCTTGTATGCATATAATAATATGATGAAATACATATTACAAATACATTAAATTGATTTTACATCTCAGTTTATAGCTGCTTGTATGCATATAATAATATGATGAAAGCGGGCTTAAAGAAAGTTAATTTGCTTATTTTAAGCTTTTGCTGTTCATGCCCGACAAGAGCGAAAGCACGAATGGGCGCATTTTTGAACTTCAAGAAAAGCACACAATAATTTTATATGAGGCTGTTCACTAATATGGATGGCGATAGAGTATAAATAAACGAACGATGTAAATACCTTCTAAGTTGTCGTATAAAATATGTCTATCAACAGAAGAACTTGGCTGTAATTTTGTTTATATATATATATATATATATATATATAACACAATCGAAATAATAGATTTCGAAAAAGTATAAAAAAATGTTATGAGCTCTAAATCATCTAATTAAAATTAAGGTTATCTCGCTATATACATAACAGTTTTCGTCTATTCATTTTATTAATAACAATTCTTTCATAAAAACCACCAAACAATTTGAAAAGGATAAACCAGTCAAAAAAAGTAATAGCTTTTTCGCAACCCTGTATCTCATTGCACGGATTGAATGCCATTTCAAGCTTGAAATAAAACGCTTTTTCAATATGTTCGCTTATTTATTAGAATAATAATAGGCACTCTGGTCTGATCGGAGTAGGATTTGAATTAGCAAAAAACGTCGCGAAACAATTGATGTTTGTAACGGTCCATTACTTTTTTCCGGGCGTCTCTTGTTTTTTTCTGATCATTCTCTCAAACGCGCCATTTAAATAGGCGTTCAGGCGAGGTGTTTCGTAATTGCAAGAATGCGGTGGCGTGCACCTTGTTGCAGACGCGGTTCCTGTTCGCATGTGAACCGTATTTATTATAATTACGCCCGGTCGGCCGC